TTCCACACCGCATCTGTATTAACCCCAAGTCCTCCTCCTCGGATCCCAGTTGCAAGTACTCTATACCTCACTAAACACAAGCTACTCTCACAGTAGATCCCTCATAAGGTCGTTCCTGCTAAATACTCATTCTCAACTCATACTCAAGGCAAATTACCGATAGCAGAAATCCCTAGGCTAAGGCATCACAAATCAGGCCACCCTAGTCCTAATATATGAAATACCTAGCCTACTCTCTAGCATGTATAATATCTCATAATATATCATAAATATCTTATAACACAAAAGTAAGGGTGTTTTGGGAAATCACTACTCGGGCTCTGGCTGATTGTTCATACTGCTCCAACTCGTTTGCTCTCAAACTCTTTCTCATTTTTAGAAAAATTTATCTCTTTGGGAAAATCTTTCTCAAATCCTCAGTTTGAGTCCAAACACACCCGGAGGTGCATCCGAATCCCTCAAACCAAGGCACTGATACCAACTTGTAACGACGTAAATTTTCAAACAAAATTTTCATTTTCAAAACACAATAAAACTCATTTTCCAATCTCAAAATCACAAGTGTCTAAAATGTCAACAATCCACAATGTAAATCACAATCCCAGAATCATAAAATTGTCTCTCTCCAGTGTGTATAATCATGTCGGTGCCTTCCCGCGATCCTCGGAACTACCTGAAACACATAACACGGTAAGCACCAAGCTTAGTGAGTTCCCCAAAAATACCACACACAGGTTGTTAGCCACTCGAGGCTCAAACTCAATAAGACCCTCCAGTCAATGTGTCCCAATAGGGCCCTCCGGTCCCACAACTCAGTTGGACCCACTGGTCCCTCAACTCAGCAACTCAATACAATACACATTATGCATATCTCAAACAAATAGCAGGATATCTAAATACACAGATAAGCACATAAGACATCTCAGTCACACGAAAATACCACTCATGGTAAAATATAGTGAGAAGACTCACCTCGTAATCTAGCAAGTGAAAATCTTGTATCCGGAAATCTCGAACTCTAACCACCGGTCTAGCCTCCGTCTAACACATATAATAATTATCCCTAATAAACAATGGCCCTCAAGAAGCTAGACTAACCCTTCTATAAACTCACAGAAGGGTAAAAGACTATTTTACCCCTCCATAGGCTTAATAGTCCACAATTTGACCAAACCCTAAAAGTCAACAAAAGTCAACGGCAGGGAATACGCTGCGCGTACTCCATCTCTACGTTGGGCGTACTCGGCTGCCAAGCAGGCATCGGGGAAGCGCGACCCTACGCTGCGCGTACTGGAAGTTACGCCCGGCGTACTCTCCAGTTTCTTTCTTTCTTACTCATTTGGTCTTAAATAGTTAAGACCTTGGCTCATATCGTAGATCCAGACTCTCTAATAGCTCTTAACCCATAAAGTCAGTGACTTTAAGCCTTTGCATGGCTGAAATGGTCACCAACCCTCAAAATACACACTCTTTTGTCTCGAGGAGCTCATAACTCATGCATGGAGTGATTCCAACGTCCAAGATTGGATTTTTATGACATTACACCACTCATATGTCCAAAAGGGGGGAGGACCTAGTCTCTGGAGTTCAAGATCTCATCAAGTCTCCACCTTTTTGGGACAAAACCCTAAAATGCTCTATTAGGATGCTCATAACAAAAGAGAGGTAAAGTTTGAAGCTTTATACCTCTATAAGAAGCTCCCAACGCAGATATGCTTGGATCTAGAAGCTTGGATTCCCACTCCTTCTTCTTCAAGGCTTTCTCTTCTCTTCAAGAACACACAAGAACTCTCAAAGGCTCATAAATACACTCACAAGTTCCAAAACGAGGGTTAGGGCACACTTAGGGTTTGTTGTCTGAGAATGGTGGCCAGAAATGAGGCCATCATATCCTTTAAATAGGGGACTCACCCTAGATTAGGGTTTTCATTTTGGGCCTAGTACGCCCAGCGTACCCACGGGTACGCCCAACGTACTAGGTGGTCTCCGCGTCACTTGCACGCTGACGAGTACGCTAAGCGTACACCTCAGGTCGCCCCGCGTACTCGTTTTTCACCCTTTTCATAATAAGGGCCAAAATAGACAATAGCTCAGAAGATCAGGGTTCACAAGGTATACCTGGACTCGGGATGTTACATACCTCTTCATCGAAGGGGAAGGAGCCGGCACGGTAGCAACGCATCGCACACATATGATTTCCGCATTTTGAGATCCACGGGATTGTACTCTGACATTTTTACTATTTTTATGATATGGTTGAGACATATGACTATGGTCTTATGAATTAATATGATTCAATGATGTTTTTCAGTAAACAATTTTACAAGTTACTTAATTAGAAAACAAAAATTTTGGTCTTAAAAATTGGGATGTTACATAAGGTTTTATAGCCTTTCGAACTCTTAAGATTGCTAAAGATAAGATTAATCAACGTTAAATGTTGATTTTAAGGCAATTATCAGAGTCTGAAAATAATATTTCCATAACAATTTCCTTAACTCCGCAAGGGGCGCAACACCCTTGACCCGTGCCATATAGGAGAGCTTAGATCAAACTCATTTTATACAAATATGTATTTCGTTTCTCGTATCTCCAATCTAGACTAGAACTATATTGGTAACTTGTAAATTCTATTTCACTAGAATGACCATACCACTCACCATGAACTTTGTACACTAAATTTGGGTGTGAAGCTAGTTGTTGCAAAACCTTTGTTGTATGTTAACTTTATACTTAAGCAACATTTTTTTTCATCTTAATAACCTCATAATCTCATAAACGAATAGGCATATTTATAAGATTTTTTCTTTTCGTTGTAACCATGCAACCATTTCAAACATCAAAATGGTAAAATAACAATCTTGATTTACTAAATACTAGTTAAAGCACTTTTTTCAAAATCAAACTTAAACCTCAATAATATCCAATATGAAAGACCATCTAAAAAACAAAAGTTTAATCACACAAAAATTACCAACCAAACATAAAAAAAAATGTATAAATCAAACAAAAAACATATGTATTTTCAATTCATATTTTAATAAAAATCCATACACTTACAAACATCATTATTGTGCATTTTGTATTATTATATAGAAAGAAGAGTGGTGACAAAATATGGATGTGGACTAACGGGTGTGTATGGGTTGTTTACGGTTAATCATAGCACGAGATACGAGGAAAACTCTTCGATGATGACTGGGCATCGACATGACCAACAATGACCTGACAAATAGCTGACTTGGATAATACGTGTAGACCAATAAAGGAAAGCCACCAACTATCAAGACACCAACACTTTATTACACTTCCTTTAACCGTTTTAAAATATTTTTTAAGCATTTAAAGGTAATATATATATATATATATATATATATATATATATATATATATATATATATAGGGTTAGGTTCATGTAAGACCACTATATTTTGTGAGACGGGAAGACGCAATCCTAGCCACTTATTTTGTAGATAAAACATTTTTAAAATGCAAAAAAATTGAAAATTTTCGAATTTTTTGTTTTAAAATATTATTTTCGTCACTTTTTTTATTAAAAAAAATAATAGTTACCGTTTGTTTGAAATATCTGTGAAATATTTTAAGACAATATTAGAATATTCTACTGGAATATTAGAATATTTTACATATCTGACAAATCTACTAGAATACCAGAGTATTCTAACATTCTAAAAATCACATTGGAATATTTACAGTGTAATATTCTATTAAAATATTTCATGTATTTTAAAAAAACGGTAATATTTTATTTTTATTTTTTATTTTTTTATTATTTTTTTAGATAAAGAAAATTACGAAAATAATAATTAAAAAAAGATTTTTCGGATTTTTCCTTTTATTTTGCATTTTAAAATTATTTTTAGATTGCGTGTCACGGTATCACAAAATTAACATTGTCTCAAATGAAATTAAACATATATATATATATATATATATATATATATATATATATATATATATATATATATATATATATATATAAAGAGAGAGATCGAGCGAGAGAGAGAGAGAGAGAGCTAGATTGAAATGTGGATTGACATCTATTATGTGAATGTGTGGACAACGCTACTATGTGAGAATGACAAAGAAAATATGTTTTTTGGTAATGTGAATACATTCAATCTTACATAACTATTGTCATTATCACGCATTTTCACTAATTAAATTGCCTATAAGGTTATTATAGACTTTTTTTTATTATTTTCATTCTGTCATAATGTTGTCAGAATGTTTTATTGAGTCGTATTTTATAAGAATGAAAATGAGTAAAAAACGATGTGTGAGAACAAAAATGAATAAGAATTATAGAAAATGCATGAAAATGACGATAGTTGTGTAAGTTTGGACGTATTCACATTAACAAACAACTTATTCTCTAAGTAATTCTCATAGAATGACATTGTCCAAACGTCCGCACAATAGTTGTCCATCCACATTATTAGACAAAACTACACATATGGTCCCTGTGGTTTGCTCAAAATTGTCACTTTGGTCCAAAAAGGTTTGGACTAGCACCAGAGGACCAAAGTTTTCATTTTGTTGCTTGTTTGATCCAATCTGTTTTGATTTTTTTCAAAATGACGGATTTGCCCTTGTTAATATGATTTTCTTTTTTTCTTATTTGTTTTTCTGATTTTTATATTTAAAAAAATAAAAAATAAAAATGAAATAAAAATAAATCACACTCTCTCTCTTATTTGTTTTTATTTTTCTGATTTTAGATTTTAAAAAATAAAAAATAAAAATAAAATATCTCTCTCTCTCTCTCTCTCTCTCTTCTCTCTCTCTCTCGTACATCTTCTCATCCAACATCATCCATCTTCAACCTTCAACAAACCTCATCACCAAAATCACATTTAATCTCATTCCACCTCACCATAACTTCAACGCCTCCACCAGAAATTTCCAATTGCCAAGAGCCGCTTCGATTCCACAGCCACCTATCAACGTCGATTACCTCGAAACAGAATTTAGCGGCCATGACACTTCATTCACAAATCTCAGAGAAAGTTCACGATAAACAAAATGAAGGGATTTCATGGTCTCCCACTATCTGGAATCTTTGCAATGTTGGAGGAAGTCCAGACAATTCAGGTGAATACTGAATTCACGATATCTATTTTCCGTTCCTCTGTATGAATGAATTGAAATTGCCCTAATGTTCTTAGGCAGAACTGATTAGTAGCAATATAGAAGACAAAATTGAAATCAAACACATTGTAACTTTGAAAAGAAGATGTTATAAGCTTAGAGATTGTGATCACGAATTTCAGATCTTCATCACTCCGACTAACGGGATCGATTATCGGTCACTTAGCTGTGAGCACACTGGAAGCATCATACGCCATCCGGCTCGAGAGAGCGAATTACTTCGTTAAGCCACAAATTTTCTCAAAATCCAGCATTATTCCTCCTGATATCCACAAGAATGATTCGCGTCAATAAGGTTTGAAGCGACTGCTATCGGATTGGGGACTCAAGCCCGAATCAGGACTTGAAAGACGAAACAACAAAAAATAGGGAAGAAGATGAAGAGATTGAAGGTGAAGAGGATGATAACTACAAGAATTTAATTGAGAAACTAAGCTTGATCTCTCGTTCAATGATTTAAGTTCTGAAATTCCCGATGAAATTTGGGGTATGAAGAAGATGGAAGCGATTAATCTCGAAGGGAGCATGCTCGATTGGAATTTAAACTCCAATTTCAGTGATTTGGAAAACCTTAGGGTTCTTCAACGATTTCCAGCGACGGATGATGGTCTTTGAAAGAGAGAGAGAGAGAGAGAGAGATTTTATTTATTTATTTATTTTTAAATCTAAAATCAGAAAAATAAAAACAAATAAGAGAGAGAGAGAGTGATTTATTTTTATTTTATTTTTATTTTTTATTTTTTTAAATATAAAATCAGAAAAACAAATAAGAACAAAAGAAAATCATATTAACAGGGAAAAATCCGCCATTTTGAAAAAAATCAAAACAGATTGGACCAAACAAGCAACAAAATGAAAACTTTGGACCTCTGGTGCTAGTCCAAACATTTTTGGACCAAAGTGGCAATTTTAAGCAAACCACAGGGACCATTTGTGCAGTTTTGTCACATTATTATCATACTAAAATAGTCACAACCAAGGTTGTCAAGATTGGAATTCTACGTTGAATCGTTTTCGGGTTTGCAAAAATCAGCATCATAAATCGAATCGAGATTGTAAGATCCTACAAAAACAATGTTATTATAAGTTTGACACATGGAAAATATATCTTCATCCGTCAGTGGATTGTCTACAAGTTCTAAATTTTTTAAACATTTGTAATAGCATATATATATATATATATATATATATATATATATATATATATATATATATATAATTTTTAATCTAATGTAACATAATAAGCGATGGCCCATAAGTTATAAAACGTTAAAATCTTTGTTTATGACATTATAAATAAAATTATAAGAGTTTTTAGCCGAAGTATCAAAAACAAAAACTGTAGTTGACATGAATACGAATTCGTGAACATAAATATCATCAAAATCTGAATACATATGAAAAAATTATGGTCATCTGAAGTTGGAAGGTAGAGTACATTGCTCAAATGGGAAAATAGGGGAAATATATAACCGGAACAATTCTACGACATGATTTTACGATTCCATAACGATTATACCAAAAAACGAGTTTGATGAGATCGGGATCGATATTTACGTTTAGGATTGTAAAATCGTGCAATTTTATGATTAAAAACACGATTTGACAACCTTGATTATAGCATTAAATTTTATAAAAATTCAAATATATGAATATTTAGTATAAGTTCTATTCTAGACAATTACTTAAAAACTATTAAATTTGACAAATTTTCTATTATAACCTCTTTTTTTAAAGTATATGAAAATGGTTAATCCTAACGAAGAGTCCCTCATGTAGATGTCAAAAGGCACATTTAGTCCTTATTTTTAAAAATTAATTTGAATTGTCCATTGTTTAGTTTAAACTTGCATGTTTCATCCATTGGTAGTTTAAATTTATATAATTCATCCTTTATCATATATAAAGTAACTATATTGCCCTTACTAGTTTATTTTGTATTTAGAAAAAAAAAAAAAAAATCTAACCCCTTATTATCACATTTATTAATATCTTTTAATCAATTAAACATATAACCCTTGCCCACTCCCACCCAGTCACCTAGAAGTACCTTAACTCCCCCTACCCGTTTATCCACTTTCATCTGAGAACCTCACTTCACATTTGATTCAAAATCCGACCACCATAGATATAACTAAAGTCATCGTTATCCACCAGTGTTGTCCCCTTCATTCCACCGATGTTGTCCCCTACAAGTAATCGTCACCATTGCCTCCAATCCACCAGCTTTACCTCCAAGCCATTACCGTCATCTCCGCAAGCTATTGACTTTATTTGTAGGTTTTTGATTAGGTTCTCTCTCTCTCTCTCTCTCTCTCTCTCTCTCTCTCTCTCTCTCTCTTCTCTCTCTCTCTCTCTCTCTCTATCTCTATCTCTATCTCTCTATCTATCTCTTAACCATGGTTATTTGTGTTGCCAAAGTCTCCTCCATCACAAGTGAACACCACCATTACCACTAAACTCCGCAATCACCACGTTTGAACCCGCTGCCGATGGTTACTCCTTCTTGCGAACAATCTATCTTAATATATAACCGTCTCCAGCCCACTCTCTCACACCCTCACTCTTATATCTGCTCAATTTATACATAATTATCGCTTGATTTATACAAGTGGATTTTCATATTTCAGGGTTGGGTTTCCAGATTTGATGTGGTTTGATTTTAAGGTTTGGGATTTTAGATTTATGGTTTGATTTTAAGGTTTGGGATTTTAGATTTTTGGTTCGATTTTGAGATTTCTGGTTTTTTAGGTTTCAAGTTTCTTGTTTTCAGATTTGATTTGGTTTGGTTTGGTGTTTATTGCAGGTAGTTGTCGGAAGTATAGCATGGTAGTTGTCGGATGTAAGCATGGTGGTTGCTGGATGTGGTTCCTAGAGTTTAGAAAGAATACAGAAAAGAAAGAGTGAGATATGACATGATATACGAGATAGCCATAATTGACTGGTGGTCGGAGGTGGCTGGTGGCCTGAGGTGGCTGGTGGCCGGAGGTAGCTGGTGGTTGGTAATAGCGGGAACTCAGAGGTAGCTGGTGGTCGGACATGATATACCTGGCATTGTTAACCAATATTTTTCTAAAATTTATAATTACTAAAAAGAAATTATAGATAAATTCTAAGTTTTAACAATTGACCAACGACTTTTGGACTAGGTTTGACCTTGGGTCAAATGTTAGAGTTTTTGGTCATAGGTTGAGAATTAACCTTGGAATACGTGTATAAGTGGATGTGTGCATTCATTTCTTTGTTGTGAGTTGTAAAAGGTTTTCGCTTTGTCTGTGAGGTGAGTTTTCTCACTATGTTACTTTTATAGTATGATGTATGTGGGTTGCTGATAGCTCGGGGTTGCTGATAGCCCAATTTGTTGTATGTGAGTTGTTGATAGCTCATGGTTTCTGATAACCAAATTGTTGCATTTGAGTTGTTGATAACTCAGGGTTGCTGATAGTCCATAGGGTTACTGGTAACCTGTAGCTGCTTTATTTATTAGTTGTGATGTGTTGTAAGTGATACTTTGGGAACTCATTAAGCTTTGGCTTATAGTTGTGTATTTAAATGTTTCAGGTACTTCTGAGGATCGGGGCAAGGCGAAGGAATGAATGTACACATCATCCAATAGTCTTCATGGTTTTGAGAGATGTTATGTTTTGATACTCTAATTTTGTTTATGAAAAATTGTGAAACAGTGATATGATGGTTCTTGGTTTTAAGGAAACAACTTGTATCTCTTTTTAAAATGAAAACTTTTACTATGGTTTTTGTGAAGCTACATCGCTACGTGTCAAGGCTCAAAACCCACAACTTCATCTATAAACTAACGATCTTGCGATACAAGAACATTCTTGGAAAAGGTGTTACATTTTGTAGTTGTATTGCATGAATATAGTCCAAAGTTCTTCCATATACTTTTACTTAGTTGCTTGATGTGCTATGGAATCATCACGTTATTTTTTAATTTGTTCCAATTCTCATTTTTGGAAAACTTCAAATTCGCATGTTCTTGTTGTTGACGTGCTACAAACTCATTTAATTAGGATTGCAAATTCTTTATCTATAAAAATGCAAAAAAATAAATAAATAAATAAATAAATAACAACAACAACAGGATTACTAAAGAATATATAAAGAAAAACAAGAACGTACATAGTCCTTTTAACAAAACATAACAAATAAAACAATAATAGCAACATATATAACGTTTTACTAAAAAAACGTAACATAAACAATATAATACATAATAGCACCATAGTTTACTATTTTTACAAATATAAGCAGGATACTTCTACTTATTATCAATAACTAGAGGGTTACCCCCGCTTTGCGCGTGCCGGGGGGGGGGGGGTGGGGTGCAGAATGTCAAAATATTGTTTCCTTTTGTGTTATAAGTTATTTATAAATTTACCTTTTTGAGCATCGAATATAAAAGGGTCGCATGTGTAGTTAGATGCTACAAATTTGTCACCAATTACTGCTGCAAGTTCAAAAGCCCTAACAAATAGATAGTTTTTGCAAAAAGTGCGTTGTTATAATGAGGAAACTTTATAAGGAAGTTGTTAGTTTAGAATAACAATAGAAAATAATGTACAAACCTCGGTAGGATATTTCTTCAAATGGGCTTATGTGAAATTAAAAGATACTGATAATGGAAAGAGACTATGTCACCTATTCAAAATTACACAAGTGACAAAAGTTGAAGGTGCAGAATTGTATTTTCTGCTTCAAACTAAATAAAAACAAGGTGTAAGAATCAACTTTTGCAACAGAAGTAGGGTAGATGCTTACAAAATTCTTGGATACCTACATAAACATCAACAAATCTGTAATCAATATATCAAATTATGAGTAAATGTTGCATTTTAATTATTTATGTATAAAAGGCATGCATGGTCAGTAGACTTTATAAATGAGATTTGATTTCCATTCCATGGGGTCTCTAGTTGTCAAAATAGATGGAATCCAATTCTGTGAGAATGTCAAGACTCCCTCATTTTAAGATTTGACAATTCCTTTGATGGTTGGATACTTGGAGCTAATTCAATTCCATTCATTACCTTGTTTGTTAAAAGACGAAAAACACCCCAAGCATACATAACCAAATATCCTACTCATTTTTAATCCAAAGAAAAAAAAATATTGCAAAGATCCCATTTTTACGTATGTTTTCTCCATAAACAGAGTTATGATTTCATCATCTGTATGCGGTACAGATTCCTACAAATTTTGCAATTAC